GAGGGGGAGGGGGAGGGGGAGGGAACAAGGGTCTTCAATTCTCTATCATTTAGCAAGGTATCCTTGCTCTTGTTCTAAGCAACTAAACAAGTGTTTCTCAACCTTAGCAACTTTAAGATGTGCTGACTTCAACTCCCAGAATTCCCTAGCCAATATGGATTCTGTAATGAGTGTAACTGACTGCCCCAAAATGTATTTGAGGGCTAATGCATTTTTGGCAGCAGGAAGTAGAATCTAGGTCAATTTTGGGGGGGGGGGGGGGGGGACCAAAACAACCTTTTGAGTGCATCCTGGATTTAGTACAAGCTTCTCATTTATTAGGTCACTTTATGTATCCTTTCTTCTGTCCCACAACTTTAGGTGCGCAAAGCTCCTTTCCTGATATTGTAAAAGCTATCTCTAGGTGAGAAAAATCCTTTTCTCCGAGATGGTGTTTTGCAACCCTTTCTTAGCTAAAACCAAAACAAAACCTGGGAACATTTAGGAGGGAAAAGCCACCGATTCCTATATATTCAGGTCCGCTGCTTTCATTCCCTTAATAGGGCCCCTCAATCTTTCTGCCAGGAAAGTGATCTGCAAAATGTAGAGCTGGCCTGCATCCCCTGTTGCTGGGTCCTATTTCAGCTACGTTGTCACCCATGCTGTAAACCACTCTATTACACAGAGCTGTGCACCAACCTCATCTTATCAGCTGCAATCTGTATATATTTTGCTCTCACTCTGTGTAGATGAATACCTTTTCATCTCTGGGGAAAGCGGCACGCACAGCTGTCAACATTTGGATGCCAAAAAAATACCGTCTCATGTTTTTCCCTCCCCCGTTTCCTCTTTCTAGACAACTTTCCACAGATGCATTTTTTCCTTTTCAACTATGGGGTTATGCCCCTTTGTCTCAGTGGCACAGATCTCTGCTGGAATTTCGGTCGTTCAATCTCCAGCATCTCCCCTTTTCGGGGAAAAAAACCCTTGGTTTTTCTCTGTCGAACAGACTGTATTTTCCAACCACTCACCTATCACTATTAAAATACATAAATACCGTTAAAGGCTGAAGATAAATTTGACTAGTCACTACTGCAAGGAAATCTGAGTATAAATATGTGCTACAGTGGATTGGGTGAGCGCCAGCCCAAATTTCACCCCTCCCTGATTCCATAATACAACTTGCCATCAGGAGTTTGGTATTTTTCAAACATGCAGATAAAGCAGATGAAATGTGTCAGTTTACAAATTGCGACTATCATCAATGAATCTTAAGACTTATCATCAATGAGGTTTTGGCAGGCGACTGTTCCTAGGAGTAAGGGACACTGCAGGAACCTTCTAAGGACAAAATGTACCATTTTAGGCAAGTTGGTAAAGTAGATTGTTTCTGAAAAGGGTTCTTACCACCATGTGTCAGAACATTATTTAAGGTGGAAGTTTTCAGAAATGTCTCTATCCTACCTGTAGGTCATAAACAATCTTTAACCCACTTATAGGCATATATATAAGTGCAACAGCCTGTTCTCTATTATTCACACTGAGGAAGCCTGCCAATACGGCTCCCTTTCAAGGCGATCTGACTGTTTGCTTTGCCTTCCTCATATGCCAAACATAATGTGTTGCTTTCTCAATTTACTTCAGTCAGATCTTATTAAATGGAGTCATCTAAGTTTCCCACCCAAATTATTGGGGGGTGGGGAGAGAGCAGGTTGAAATATCCTTGTTATTTGAAAGTAGAGAGAGATCTTCAAATATGCTTAATAGGAAAAGTTACATTTGAAACAGCTTGCTTTGAGTTCAGACTAATAAATAATAGAGTGTTCTTGGCCCTTTACACTTGCCGGATGGACTTATCACGTACAAGGAAGGGGGTAGGAAGAGGGGATCTGCAAAGGAACATGCTTTTCGTACCTATTTGCTGAGAACTCCCGGGACATGAGCAAAACGTTTACTTCTGAAAGAGCCACAGTATTCAAACTATGTATAAATGAACATGAACGTTCTGTATAAAAGCCTAGCTAGTGTATTAAGTCACTATTGAAAAATAGCTCAAACAAGTCTATTGTGCTGTTTCCCCCCACCAAACAGGCAAGGAGGACTTAGGGAATTATGCACCCCCCCCAAAAAAATTCCCCAACCTCTTCTTCCTGCAGAGGAAAAAAAAGTTGATTAAAGTAGTACAGCAATCTAGATGTAAAGGACAAAATGTGATTTGGAGCATGTTTGGGCATGCATGTTGCATCTGTTGAAAATACCTCAAACCAAAGTATGTCTTGCCAGGATCTCATTTCAGCTGTAAAAGATAACCACAAGAGCCCAGGAAAAGGCCTGCTGTAAGATACTCCTGGTCATATTTTACTCTTTGAAACCAGACCTCTGCAGAGCCCCAATGTGGATATTGCGGGAAGGTACAAAGGGTTAATTACACACATTTCCCCAGCAAATTCAGAGTCCCCTTGATTTGGGGAAATGTTGTGGAAATTTTACTAGGATCAATGCATTCATTGATAGTACTCTTGGCTTTGAACAGAATTCAGCTTTCAGTCATAAATCAATGTTCCTTTTGGTGATCTGAAGAGTCTATGAAAGAAATTCTAACTCCTAAGAAACGTGTCCATACGTTTCCATTCATTTGTATTTTCTTCTTTCATTGGTTTCTATTCATTGTTATGTGTCAAAGCTGAGAAACACGTTATAATTCCATATGTAATAACAGATAAAAGCTTAATATAGGAACCCCTTGGCTGATCATATCTGAACTTGCTTTTGTTTGATTGATCTTGGCTTTCTTGAAAACAAAAGCAAGTTCAGATATGATCAGCCAAGGGGTTCCTATATTAAGCTTCTATCTGTTATTACATATGGAAATGCAGCATGTTTCTCAGCTCTGACACATAAAAATGAATAGAAACCAACGCAAAGAAGAAAATACAAATGAATGGAAGTGTATGAATGGAATAATTAAGAAAGCCGAAATCAATCAGTCTCCTGAACACATACTCTTTCTCTTTCTCAGCAGCTCAGTTAGGCTGGTTTACTTACTTGGGTTTTCTCTAACAACTTGTACGTAACCAAAGCATGGATCTAGCATTATACTCTTCACAATGCAATGCTACATATGGCTCCTCAAAAGAAGGCTTCAGGAATTCAATGAACCTTACTTCCAGATATCTCTACTAATACATGTTGATATGAATGCCAATTAACACATTTAAATGGTTTTCCATCTTCCATTCAGATGCAAGATACATCTGAAATTGAAGTCCATACATCTTAAAGTTGGCAAGTTTGAAAAACACTGCTATAGTCATTTAATGTGTTATATGAATATTCTCCACATTTGAATTTCTATTGTTTGAAAAGAAACCTTTTTAACAACAAACCATTGATCAGGATAGTCATCCATATGATCCTTGAGGGGCTTTTATTATTCAAGGCAAATCAATGGCTAGTGAAGATGGCCAGAGTTACAGATATACTGTGCAATTTGGGGAAAACGTCCAACTCACCTGTGTGGGAATAGATAAACCATAAAGCTCCTGTCAGCAGTGCACCTATTACAAAAGCTGCAAAGGCAATTCCCACAACTGTCAACGTATCCAGGCCGTAGACAACAGCTGTGAAATTCAGAGGTTAGGGAGAAAAAAATCAACACATTTAGAATATAAAACCAAAGATATTTTACTTGCATTTAGAAAGACGAAACAAAAAGTAATGGCATTTTCCCCCCTGGATTGCATTTTGTAATCAGGACTTGGCATCTGTTGGGCTCACCAAATTTGCCTTGAGCTCTTCTTGCTCCAAACATTCTGTCCCTCCCTCTCTTTCTGGCCCATGTCCTGCTTTGCTCTCTGCTATCTGTTTGGGATGGTAAGAAGCAGGGTTCCTCAACCTTGGCCACTTGAAGATGTGTGGACTTCAACTCCCAGAATTCCTCAGCCAGCCATGGCTGGCTG